CTTTTATGCATGAATTGATGAAATACTATGATTTTATGATGATTCCCCATGAACCCATGTAAATCCCATGTTTTCCAATTATGATGATATGATGTGGATTTTGAATTATGAAAGAGAAGATTATGAAAAATAAGCATGTTCTTATGAGATTTACATAAATTTTTTAAGAATGCTTTGAGAGTGAAGTATCAATGATGATGATTGTTGTGGTGTTGTTGAAATGATTTCTCATAAACACATTAAAGCATAATTTGTGAAAAGACATTCTCACATAAAGGATTCTTAGGGTTGAAAGATTTCTCAACTAAACTATGAATTTCGGTCTACTCGAGGTTTAAAACAAGGAGACCCGCTCTCCCCCACCTTGTTCATTATTGTTGCAAAAGTGTTGTCCAGAAATTTAAATCATCTACATGAGCTAGATAATTTTAAAGGTTTTGGGATGCCAAAATGGAGTCCTAAAACTAACCATCTAGCTTATGCAAACGACACTATTTTGTTTGGTTCAGGGGACAGAGGACCAATTATCCAAATGATGAAGGTATTGAGAGGATATGACAGGAAACACAGAAGATACTATGTAGGGCTCATCAAGAAGATTGCTGCAAGAATTTATTCATGGCAAAATAGATTTATAACTTTTGGGGGAAAGTTTATATTGATAAATCATGTGTTACAGTCTATGCCTATATACACGCTATCAACTATGAACCCCCTAAAGGTGTGATTGATCAAATTCATCAAATGTTTGCAAAGTTCTTTTGGGGCAATCAAGCAGGAGTCAAGGGCAAACACTGGATGAATTGGTTGGAAAAAGGGAAGGAGGCTTAGGATTAAGATAATTGCATGATGTTTCCAATGCTATGTTTGCGAAGCTCTGGTGGATTTTTAGAACTTCAACATCTCTCTGGAGTTCTTTTACGTAGAATAAATATTGTAAAAAATATCATCCAATCATAGCACAAAATAAGGGGCGTCACAGATTTGGAAAAAAATTATGAGAGTCAAGGAGGAGGTTGAGCACGAGATCTAGTGGCAACAAAAAGAGGGAAGTGCCAACTTCTAGATAGATAATTGGACTAAACAGAGCGCTCTATATTATACAGAAATACAAGGAGTAGAGGAGGAAATAGAGGTCAAGGAGATAATACTTAATGGGCAGTGTAACACACAAAGATTACAACAACTCATTTCACAGGAAATGGTGAATCATATTGTGGATAACATTAGTCCGACATTGAACAAGAAGGAGAAGGACAAGCCGTGGTGGATGGGAAATTTGCAAGGAGAATTTAATGTTAAATCAACATATCAGCTAGTGAGGAGGAAAAATGAAGAAATGGAATGGCGAGATAACATATGGGTAAAAGGGCTTCCTTTTAAAATTGCATTCTTCCTATGGAGGGTCTGGAGAAAGCAAATACCCATAGATGATATTCTCAAGACAATGAGAGTGAACATGGTGTCCAATTTCTATTGTTGTGACGAAGGAAGGGAGGAAACAATACAACACATTTTTCTAACTGCTCCTGTAGCCCAACGACTATGGAAGCATTTTGCTACATGTGCAGGTATAAGCATTGAAGGATTGCATTTGCAACAACTAATCACAACCTGGTGTGAGTGGCCAGGTCAACATAAGTTGAGGCAAATTTACAAGACAGTACCAACAATCATCACGTGGGAACTATGGAAGAGAAGAAACAGTAGAAGGCATGGCAAAGAACTGGCATACAATAAAATGGCGGGGGCAGTGTCAATTGACAATAAAATTGCTACTCAAGGAGAACTACCCATGGATAAGGAGAACTAAGCTAGAGTGGCAGGATATCATACACACATTAAATACATAAGCCAACCTTGTATTATTTAATGGTACACTTAGAGCCTCCAGATGGCGAATGGGTCAAATGCAACACTGATAGAGCCTGCAGAGGTAACCCGGGACACAACTCATATGGATTCAGTATAAGGGATATCATATGTGACCTATTGTATGCAAGCACAACATATTGGGATAGCCACAAATATGGATGTTGAAGTAATGAGAGTATGGAGGGTGATGCTATATTATAAAACACAAAGCTTTGAGAAGATCATCCTAGAAATAGATTTTGACGTTAAAGAACATATTAACCAGGCAGTGGAAAATCCCGTGGGAGTATGCAGAAAATATTGAAGAGATACAAAAGATCATAACAAGGAAACAAGTTCACATCAAGCATATATTCAGATAGGCAAACTCCTTGGCGGACTATCTAGAAAATCAAGCGATGGAGCAAGCAGAGACAATACAAGCACATAACTTTCATGATCTATCTAGCAGAGGTAGGAAAATTATGAATGTAGACAAGCAGCAACTACTAGCATTGCGAATCAAGACTAGAAGGATAGTACAAACATGCTAATAAAGAATATGCAGAAAGAAGATCACATCTTTCATATATACATATTAAAGTTTAGATTGCAAGAAAGCTTCCTAGCCGTAACTAAGCCTCCTAGCCTATACTTTTCCAGCTTACAAAAAAGGACTAGTAAAAAGGGGAATGCCAAACCGATTCAGCATTAACAGAGAAAACTCACCTCAAGAGTGATATACCTCAAGCTTTAGAAGGATTACTATGGTTCATCCTAACAAAAGTTCACCAAGAACCAGAAACACCTCCATTGGATTCACATCTACACAAAAAGTAAAGTTAGAAATAAATCAGAAAGTGGACACTAGAAGACAAGGGGGAGTACCTTGGCGAGCTGATATTACTCTGCCGTTCCAAGGATGGAGAACATTGATCACCCAAAGAAGGAGAAAGAGCAAAGAATCTGAGAAAGGACATGGAAAATAGAAGCTGAGGATTTTTTGAAAGCAAGAAGAAGAGAGAGTGCTTTAGGAAACCTTTTTTTAGGGAATGGAAAGAACTAAGTCATCTACTTAAACTTTCTGATTTATTAGGCTTTTTTAGCAATTGGGCTGAAAGAGGGATTTTAGGAGACTTGTTCTTTTTGTATTTTGGTTGATGATTGATCAATAAAAAGGACCACTAGCCCACAAATTAATTTTAAAAAAAAGATTTTAGGAGCTATTCTAATAAGACCTAGCTTGGATTGGTTACTTAATTGTACCTTTCCATGGATGATGCATTGGCTAGATTGGATTGGTCATTGAATGATGCCTTTCCATAAATGACATATGACTTAGCTTGGATTGACAAGATGGCATGCCCTTCCATGGATAATAAGAATAATTTAAGAAAATGACTATTCCGTGGAATTTATGCTTAGCACCGATAGGATATTGAGATGGAAGCTCTCCCATTAGTAGAGGCCGGGTTTCTAGAAGCAATTTCTTTATCCCTTACCTATGTGCCCCCATAGGATGATTGTCTAGATAGACATTAGCTAGTGGATCCACAATAGCTAGAAGTTCATGGTCCTTCCATGGCAAGTAGGACACCCTTTTTCGGTGTGGCGTAGACACCAGATTCCATGTTGATAGCTCACATGGTCTTATACGTCCGTTAAGGCTACTTCCCATAAATAAGAAAAGTTTTATGGTGAACCAGGTTACTTCAAGGAAGTATCGTAAGTGTATTTTAAGATGATGTTCATTCGCATTGATCATGTTTTATGACTTATGGTTTCTAACTCTCAAAATGCGTGTTTTAGCTTGATCATTGCTTACTCATGAAAATGTCCCTTCTTAGCATGTTTTAGATGTTTATATACATGGCTATCACACTTGGTACATATTTTGTACTAACACATACTCTTGCCTACATTTCCCCAAATGTAGGATCCAATTGTCAGGGTTCTTAGTTTCGTGTCTAGAGGTTGATTTGTGAGATTTCCGAGCTTTGGTGAGTCCTCATGCTTCGACGAAGAATTATCATTGATTTCAGTTTCTTTCTTGTTTTCAGTTTTGGACGTGATGTATGGGCTAGGTCCAATTTCATTTTATCGTACTAGATGCCTAATGAGATAAGTGTTTAGACTTCAGCTTTACTTTTATAAAACTCTTGGACTTGAAATGTTGTATTTATCTCTTTTGTTCTATTTCTTGTGTTATGAATGCTAAGTGGCTTGTATTGTGCCTCTCGGGGTCCTGTACGCCATGTTACATGTAGGGTGTACCCCTGGGTCGTGACAAACTTGGTATCAGAGCACAAGGTTTAGAATCGTCCTAGGATGTTTCATAAACCACATCGAGTAGAGTCTTGTTCATGAGTGTGAAGCGCGCCACATTTATGAATGAGAGGCTACAAGATGATTAGGAAACTCCGCTTCTTTCATTACTCTAAAGTCGTGCGATAGAGTTTAACTCTATAAGGTCTCTCTCCTAATCATTACCCGATGTTATACATTACATGGCTACTTGAAAAGCTTACACTAGAAGGAATGTGAAGGAAAATATGGAACAAGAATCTTCTGCTCAAGCTCCGGTTGACCCTTTGACCAGGCAAGTGACTAATGCGGAGTTTAGGGATGCTTTTCAAGTATTGGCTCAAACCATGACAGCCCAAGCCAATAGGGAGGTTGTGTTTCCCGTGAACCCAAATGTGGGTATGATAACATCTAGAGTGAGGGACTTGACTAGAATGAATCCTTGGGAGTTTCATGGTTCTAAGGTTAATGAAGATCTTCAAGAGTTCATTGATGAGGTTTACAAGGTATTGATGATTATGGGAGTGACACTGGTGAAAAAGACGGAGTTAGCTGCTTATCAACTTAAGGTTGTTGCTCAACCTTGGTTCAACCAATGGAAAGCAGGGAGATCGGAAGATGCAGATCCTCTAGATTGGGAAATGTTCAAAGTTGCTTTCCTTGATAGGTTCTTTCCCCTTGAGATGAGGGAGACAAAGGTGCTTGAATTCATCAACCCTCATCAAGGAAGTATGAGTGTGAAAGAGTATGGTTTGAAGTTCACATAATTGTCTAAGTATGCCTCTTATTTGATTGCTGATTCTAGGGCATAAATGAGTAAGTTTGTTTCGGGTATGTCTGAAATGGTGGTTAAGGAGTGTCACACCGCTATGCTTATCCATGATATGGATATTTCTCGTCTCATGGTTCATGCTCAACATATTGAAGAGGAGAAGGTTAAGAAAAGGTCTAGGGAGGCTAAGAGAGCTAAGATTGGTGATGGTTATTTCTCACATTTAAGGTCCGATGGACATGGTTGTTCTAGGTTCCGACAAAGGTTTTTCGGTCAAGGTTCCTCTAATGCTCCTTCAAAGTTCAACAAAAATAGGGTGTCTAACCCTAAGCCTCAAGGAGGAAATGGTAGTGGGTCCTTGTTGCCTAATTGTGCTAAGTGTGGAATGAAGAATGAGGGTAAGTGCTTAGCCGACACGGATGGTTGCTTCGGTTGTGGTAAAAGTGGCCATAAGATAAGGGATTGCCCGATGCTTACCGCTGAAGAAACAGAGGGTAAGCAAGCTCCTCCTAGTGGTTTGGGTTCCAATGCTCCCAAGCAAAACCGAATCTATGCACTTCAAACTCAAGATGAACAAGAGGGTTCTTTCGATGTAGTTAACAGTATGTTGAAAGTCTTCGAACTTGATGTTTATGCTTTAATTGATCTCCGCCATATGTGGCTATGAGGTTTGATATTTTTTCGGATGTGTTGTTATATCCCTTTTCTGTCTTTACCCCTGTTGGTGATTCTATTATGGCTAAGAGGGTTTATAGAAAATGTCTTGTTTCCTTCTCCCATAGAGTTACTCTTGTTGATTTGGTAGAGATTGATATGCTAGATTTTGATGTTATTCTTGGTATGGATTGACTGCATTCATGTTATGCTTCTATTGATTGTAGAACCAGTGTAGTCAAGTTTCAGTTTCCAAATGTGCCCGTCCTAGAGTGGAAATAGGGGAAATTCTATGCCTAAAGGTCAGTTTGTCTCTTGTCTTTAAGCTAGAAAGATGATTGTTAAGGGTTGCATTCACCATCTAGTTAGGGTGAGGGATGTAGATTCCTAAACTCCTACTCTTGAGTCGGTCCTTGTTGTGAATGAGTTTCCAGAATTATTCCCAGATGATTTACCTGGTATTCCTCCTAAAAGGGAAATAGACTTCGATATTGACATTCTCCCAGATACGCAACCTATTTCTATTCCTCCTTATAGAATGGATCCAACAGAACTTAAGGAGTTGAAAGAGCAATTGAAAGATTTGTTGGATTGGCTAGCCAAAGTTGCTCAGGAGATCACGAACCACGACCTGGATCAACGGACCGTCGTTGGGTCCACGGTCCGTGAAGGAGGTTCGTGGATCATGGCCTCAAATTTAGTTTCTGAAGCTGACGACGGATGACGGTCATTTATGGATCATAGTCGCCCGCCGGCAACGGACATTTTCAAATTTTCTACCAGGATCGTATAAGCTGACACCACTTTGAAGGAAACTATTTTTTTTAAACACAGATGTTCTTGAATCTTAAATTCAAGTCCTCTCTATTATGTATATTTTATGTATTTTTTATATATTGAATTAACTAGCAACATCCATATTTATAAAAGCAAGAAATCAAATTAAACTAAAACTAGAAAATGTATTCCTATATAAACTAGGACAAACAAATCCTAACTAGACAAAATTAAATAAATACCAAAAATAACAAATTCTATACAACTTAGGATTCCTACCCGAACTTTGAATTATTATTCCAACATATATTCTTTTCTTTTAACACGTAATCTTCTCTATTATATTTGAATTTTCTTCCGAAAAAAAAATCGCAGTCTTATTTTATATGTTTGTTATTCTTTTAAGGGAAAATTATATAAAATAGCAAACTATTAATTCAAATTAAATGTTATAACCACAGTTTGATTTAATTGTAACCCGTAGCAAACTGTTGTTATTTCGCCACTCTCCCTGAATTTCTCGCTCGCCACTCTCGTTTCTCGCTGGGTAGTCTCTCCTCGCCTCTCTCACTTTATACAAACACAAATCTATAAAATGCGTTTGTGTTTGTATAAAGCGAGAGAAAATTGTATATATACATATCTTTTCATTCCCCTCTCTTCCCTCTCCCAGATCTCACTCGCCTCTCTCACTTTATACAAACACAAATGTATAAATTGCGTTTGTATTTGTATAAAGCGAGAAAAAATTGTATATACAAATACAAATACATATATTTTCGTCCTGTACACTTATGATTATACAAATACATATCTTTTCCTGTCCAATTTTCTTTTGTCTTTCTTTCTTTCTCGCTTTATACAAACACATATTATACAATTGATTCTTTTGTATATGTATACCGAAACAGATTATACAATTGCTTCTTTTATATATGTATAGCGAAATATACATATTAATAGCCATAACAAACATAAAGTTTGCTATTGAGCGCAATTATGCAAACTATAGCTATAACATACAAATATGATTTTTATGTTTGCTATATATGGAAGTTGCTCTTTAATATCCAAGTAACTTGACTCATATATAGAGATGAATTAAGAGTAAGTGGGAGTTGATATTTCTTTTTGTCATACCACCATCCACTGTGGCTTCTACTAACAGAAAAAGAAAATCACGACATCACGAAAAATAAGCACCCAAATATTCTAGGTAAAATATCAATACTAAAACTTAAATCTTACAGTTAATGTATACGTTGGATAACTATGAATTTTGTTTGGCATGTGGGCTACTGGAAGGGTTGAAATTGAAAAATATATGGCTGCAAATCTTGGAAGGTAATTGTCGCCAATGGGTTAATGATTAACTATCATTGGCTAATGATTTGTACTTGGGTTGGGAAAAAAAGGAAAAAAATTCAAATTTTGGAGTTTCTTGTTTGCTGCAACGTGTAGGCTATTGTTGGGATACCATCTATTGTGGGTTGATCTTTTTATTTATTTTATTATAACGTTATGATTCTAGTTATGATATTGTGAAATATGCGATTAAATATTAGGTGTATTAAATTATATAAATATAATTAAATTTATGATATTTGAAAGAATTGAGACTTAACTCTAACTTAAAATTTAGGAATATGAGACTTGACATATTAGTTGACATCAAGATTTATAAACTTGATCATAGATTAGGGTGAGTTTTTGGGTTTAGGCTAGACGTATAGTAATATGGGTGTCAACAGACTCACTTGCTTACGAATATTAAATATTTGATAGATTGGGAACGTTCTGAAGCTTTATGAAAGGAAAAAGCAAAATCTTGAGGATTCATGACACGTGTTCGGCATTCAAGGTATGTTAAGACTTTCAGACTTCATTGAAGGACATTTTTCTAATTAAAAACTAAAAATGGAATATTAATAGACAATGGGTCAGGGAAAAAGATGGGGGTCTCATACCAATGGTGTGATGGGCATTGGTACAAGTACCAATGTTATAAAGGGAAAATTTACTACTATAGAATGACGGATTGTAATTTGAGAATGTCAAAGCATATGGTCATTAGTTGATGTATTATTGACTTGATTTGTTTGTGTGATTGTTTCTTTATTGAATCAGTATATTTGTGATAGTTGTGGTGATTATTTATCATGCCGATATTTGATTGATTGAGATGCATCATCATCCCTTTTATTGAAATCTTATTGTGCGCATGCATTGACATGAAATTGAGTATAAGTTGGGCACGTGGAGATCGTCTGTGCTGGAGATTGTGATATGTTTTGATTATAAGTTGGACATGTGGAGATCGTCTGTGATGAGAATTATTTGATTGTTATATGTGAAAATTGCTCTTCTTTTAATTGACATTATTAAACTTTTGTCCTTTATATATTAACTAAATTCATAAAATATTGTGTCTTTAGGAGTCCTTACCCTACTCTCTAGATATGCCCTGAATAATTAAGTAGATCATGAATGATGTGTAGGTGGTATCGTTAACAATTTTTTCGTTATTTTTTATTAGTATTATTTATTATAAAATTTGTTCGAAGAGTGTTGGTTAATTAACTTTATTGTAATTTTAGTAACCGATTCTTGTGTGAAGAAAATCAATATCATTTTATGATAAATAGAGAGATGATTATTGGCACCTACAATAAAAGAGAATATTTTAAGAAAATTATTTTGATAGTTTTTCTCTCTCATTTTGTTAGAGACATACAATTTTTTTATAGGGTAAATAAATGATTCAAAATTTAGTGTAAAAGAAAGTTTTTTATGGTGCATGGTTTATATTAACGATCATATTTTAAGTCTAAATATTAAACTTTTGAAGTTTGTGAAAGTTCCTTATCAATTATCAAATAGAAATCATTATTTTACAATTAAAATAAAATAAACTTTCGAATTGATGATATAGAGAGTGTTTAGAGTTAAATAATGGGAATATATATATATATATATATATATATATGAAAAATTAATCAAATTCTATTCCGACTAAGTTTATAACAAGATTGTATTGTTTCTTATCATGATGGTGCAAAACGCGAATAAGTTCACTAGTATGATTGTGAAATTGGATGAAAAAGAGAAAAATGTGAGAAAATGGTCAAATGACCCCCCAATCTATTAGTCAATTCTCGATTACACACTTATACTTTACGGGGGTCCTATTACCCCCCTAGACATTTTAAAAGTGGAATATAGTGCCCCTTAAAAGATCACACCCAAATTTGTGGTAAGTGGTGGGTTGCACGCGCGATGCCACATAAATATATTGTACTTTTTAAATTAAAATATTATTATTCTACTTTTTTATTCTATTTTCCTTTTATTCTTTTCTATTTCAGCCCATTCTTCTTTTCTTTTTCCTTTTCTTTGACTACAAATTTTCTGCCATTAAAGTGGAAATTCCAAGTTCCATTTCTAAAACCTCAAAAATTTTAGTTTTTTTTTTCAACCAAACTACCATGCATTCAAAGTGTGCAATCCTTAAAGGGACATTGCTATTATATAAACTAAAACATTTGAACTGCATCCCAATGACTTAAAATTCAATTACTAAAACATTAAACATACTACCAAAAAACTAGAATATAGATAGGATCTCCATATAACTATTCATAACAAAAAAATCATCTATTGGAAGACAATGTAACACAAAAGAACCAACATCCAAAATAACTAAAATTCAACAGTGCAACATAGGAGAAGGCCAAAAAGGAAGTTCTGGGTGACTTCAGAGGCAATCTAGAAAAGTGAGGTTCCCTTTCCTTTCTTGTCCCCACCAATTTCAAAATGCTTGCACCTCTTGATTGGGTGCTGTGAAACATGTTTGCAGCCTTGGCATTGCAACCTCAACACAATCTTCTTTGTGGTTTTAGCCTTTTTGTGGAAGACAGGCTTGGTCTGACAACCATAACCTGACTGTTTCCTGTCATAACGACGCTTTCCCTGAGCAGCCAAGCTATCTTTCCCCTTCTTGTATTGTGTGACCTTATGCAAGGTGTGATTTTTGCACTCCTTGGACTTGCAGTAGGTTTTCTTTGTCTTAGGAACGTTCACCATTTTCGCAGGTCGAGAGGTTAGACAGAAATAACAGAGAGCACAATCGCCGTTCAGCTGGTGCCAATCCAAAAAAAATTAGTTTCTTAATCTTTGTTTGAATTATTTTCAGAGAAGTTCTCAATTTTATTATACAAGCCAATATTGAATATCTAG